GTGTAGGCCACCATCAGAGGCGTTAAGGTCGGGGCCCTGATCATTGACATGAAACCATTCCCTGTTTTTAATTAATAAAATCAATTCCTTTTTTTTTTGTTGGAATGGTGAGTGTGGGAGGCCTTTAAAAAAAAAAAAAAAAACTTAATAAACTATCAAATGAGTCGTGCGTCTCCCACCTTGACCGTCTTGCCGACCCCCGAGGACGCGAGCAGGCCGAGGCTGCGGCAGTAGCGCACCTGGTTCACGATGGAGCGGTGGCCGCTCAGCTGGAACCGCGGCGGCCGAACTACCACCGGGGCAGCTGTGATAACCATGTCAACCGTATAAGATATTATACCAAGTAAACAGTATAATATATTACTTAATCTTAAGTAACGTAGATCCCGTAAAGTAAATATCAGTGTCGTTATTGGTCGTCATCACTCAACCAGCGTCACTGAAATAATAATTTCTAGGGTAAAAGTATGTAAAAACATCAAGGGTAATGCGACCGGTCATTACCATGAAATCTGCGCCGAGAAATTGATCCCCTATAGGATATGAGTAAATACAAAATATGTCGTCGTCACGTTTTTTAGTTCAGAGGAATCAATAATCCTTACGATAATTAATCCTTAGCTTTTTAATCATTTGCCAATAAATTAATCCTGGTGATAATAAATCCTTGTAACTGCAGCGCCTAGCAATTAAAGATAAATACCTGTTCATTATTGGATCAAAAAGCGTTAAAGCAGTGCAGGTCGTAGAACTGGTCACCACGTGTCCCGAATTAATTAGTCATTTCACTCATTTGTAAATTAGGAAACTACAATGAATTTCCGGAGAAGACGACACAAAACTCACCTTGAAATTTATTTCACAAAATTCGGCGAAAAAAATCATATCCAAAATGACATGTAAAATAAAAATTGATGAAACTCTACAAAATATAAATAGAGACACAATAAAATAGTATCATTATCTTCAAAAACCAACTACACACGTTACTATCAATCACGAAAAACAATTAAGATTGAATTAGAAGGCTAACTCTTGGGCTGAAGTGAGTCTGGCAGCTTCCAGACGTAGACGTTGAAGTCGTCAGAGCCGCACACCACGAACTGGTCTCGGTCGCCAGCGAAGCAGCAGCTCTTCATGGTGCACGAGTTGTAGTAAGTCCGTGCGTCGAACTGGGCGGTCAAATGGGGCGTAATTAATGCAGGTAAAGGTTTAATCATTGAAACGTTTGATAAAATACTGTTAAAATATGTATTGGTAGTCATGGTGCACGAGTTTTGGTGCGTCAAACTGTGCGGTCAAATGGGGCGTTATTAATGCAAGTAAAGCTATAATCATTGAAACGTTTGATAAAATACTGTTAAAATATGTATTAGCAGTCATGGTACACGAGTTGTAGTACGTCCGTGCTTCGAACTGGGCGGTCAAGTGGGGCGTTATTAATGCAGGCAAGGCTTTCAACATTATCTCGTTTGATAAAATACTGTTAAAATATGTATTGGCAGTCATGGTGCACGAGTTTTGGTGCTTCGAACAGCGCTGTCAAATGGGCGATAGAAATTCAAGCAATTGTTTTTTCAACGTGGAACCGTTTGAAAAAATATAATAAAAATCTATGCTGGCTGGACCAATTTTATTGAAAAATAACTGTACATTTATACAGACAGAGACAGATGCAGGGATGAGCAAGGAAAGGAATGAAGAAGCCAGAAAAATCAATCCTAGTGAATAACTATTCAATGATAAATATTTCTATGCTTCCATAGCAATAAATACAGAACCTAGTGCACAGATATTGAATTGAGTAAAAAAATTTACTGCGCCAGCAGTAGACCTTCGTCAAAAGAATCTGACATTCAACCTCTTCTTATACACTAATAAATATAGATGCGTTAGCCACACTTCGTTAATAATTTTAAATTATTGACAAAATTGCGAGTTTTTCTAGGTAATAATTTTATTGAGCAATAAAGTTACCTCAGCGAGAGGCTGGTCGTTATTGACGTTGTAGAGCACAGGACAGCGTCGGCGCCGCACAGCGAACACCTGCTTCCCGGAGCTGCTGAACGTGGCGCTCATGGAGGAGCGCTCGCCTTTCCTGCCCCCATACCGGATCACCGGCCTGCAGCCCAACAAATATTGGTAGTAAAATTATTTGATAATATTTACTCCAAAACAAAATAATGTTTTTAGCTGAGGTACAAGAATAAGAGCCAGTGACTAATCAATATTTCTAGCTAGAGTAAAATAACTTGGACACACTCAAGTATGGAAGATATAGATTATATTGGGTGATTTACAATAACAATGGTCTGCAATTGAGAAAATACTTCGATCAGAAGTAAGATAACAGTCTCCAAAGCATGGATGCTATCATGCTATTAGGTAAAGTTCAAACAACCGGGCTAGCAACAGTCGAGATGAATTTCATGCAATGATAGACACGAGATTGCAAACATTAATAAACACTCATTACTTGGGAACAGGAGTTTTGCTAACATTCACCTAGTCTTCTCGTTGAGTCTTGGCCAAACCTATAAAATATTGTGCCTGAACACCGCTTTAATTAACAAAGAAATAATAATTATTTAGCTGTGTCCATGCAGCCTCAAAAAATGATAAAATTGCTTACATGGTGGACTTTCTGGAGTCCCAGAGAGCAACGCCCTCTTTGTAGTTGGCCGTGAGCAGCAGCGTGGACAGCTGAGGGTGGAACTGCACCGAATGGTATGCATAGAACGACTCCGGGAGTTGGGTTTTCCCTAGAAAACAACAAGGCTATGTTCAATAGGAAAATTATACAGTCTAGTGAGATGTTGATTCCAAAATGTGGTATGTACCTAACATACTTTTTTGTAATCTAAACCATCCCAATTCAGACGCCAAACTAAATTTATTTATGAGAATAAATCAGTTTTTACAGACATCTAATGAAACTTGAAATATTATCAAGTAAGGAAGAGATGAAAAATTGAAGGAGGGAGAAGCTTGAAGAAATTTTTTCCCATCACAAGTTTCTTCTTAAAGCTTGTTTGCAAGAATAAAATTTCAAAAATTACAGAAACTTCAAACATGATCATTATTAGGGCATACTATGAGACACTATAATTTGGAAATGAAATAAATATGATAGTAAAAATTCAAATTCAAAGAAGCAAGCCATCAACAGTCAATATCATTACCTCCAGAGCCATTAAACCGAAGTCTAGTGTCGACGAGGAAGAGTCCACCATTCTCACATGCAGCAGCATATACCATATCCTGCTTGGGGTCCACATGCACACAGTAGACAGCTCCCTCATACTGGTCACTGCGGAGGCACTTTTGTCTGCAAGAACAATGTTATTGAAGGCAATCCTAATATTTAGTTAAAAAAGTAACACAGATCTGCAAGTTAAGACATGGATTTGGGATTTGAATATCTTAAGAATTTTTGCAAAAAACGGAACACAAAACATCTAATTAATAAAAAATTCATATTTGTATGAATGATATGTGCAGCTTTAGCACAACCAGAGGTATTAATTTTAAAAATCCTCCAATTTCCAAGAGCATGGATGCAAGACATGTATATGAACTACTATAACATTAAGGACAATGAAAAATTTGTAGTTATTTATGTGATAATAGTTTAAAATTCCTCACTCATCCATCATGAACCTTGCTCTCAATAAACAGTATAAAACTAATGAAAATTTTCAATTGCATATCAACTCCCAAACACAGGTACCATGAGATATATAATTTATTCATTATTGAACATTAATATTTATTAATAATTCATTGTGTCTATACCATGTGCAAATGTATCCAATACATTTATATCTAATAAACATTACACATGGCTAAGGAGTTTTTATCCAAGATTGTTAATGCACACTCAACTTTCAAGCTATTAACATCTAAAGCAATGAATTAAATTATCAAATATTATACATATAATATTAACTTTTAATTATAAAATTAAATTATATTTTAAATTATTAATATATAAAATGATTCAATCTAGCACATAAATTAGCATATTGAGACACCCACGTGGTTATATCATGTTGGAGAACAATCTGGTCATTGCCAGCAGAGAAGATCTTATCACATGATGGTGTGAAGGCAAGGCTAAATATGTTACTCTTGTGTTTCTTTTGCATGGCACGTGGAGGAGCTGTATGAGGCACATTGTCATGGCTCCTGTCATAGCGGCTGTCATTTCTTCTTGCAGTAGAGACATTTGAAACTAATGGCTTGGGTGAATGACTTAATATACTATTGTTGATGTTCCACAGGAGAACAAGTCTGTCATCTCCCCCTGAAAAAAGAAGATGTTTAAGCCAATGGGTTTAGTGATCTATCTTCCTCCTTGTAATACCAATTTACATAGTAATAGTAATATTAGAGCTAAAAATAATTTAATAACTGCAATATACCTAGTACTGAAAAAGTCAATAAATCATGAAGTAATATTATGTGATTCAAATAACACATCATGGAGTTTCAGCATCAATGCAATAAAAATTTAAACTTAGTAATTAAATTTGAAGAATCTATCCCACAAATGAGAAAATTTGCTGTTACTGCTTGACTTTGCCTGTAAGAAAAATCATTACACAATTTTCCTATTTACTTCAGAAATTTTTAGACTATTCACTGCTTGAATATTCTACAGACTAACCATACAATTAAAATATACAAAATAATAAGACTGACTATTTTCTGAGCACATCATGTTAAATTTGTTAATAACTTATTAATTAGGATGACCAAATCCATCTCACCTGATGCAAGGAAGGTCCCATTATTTGAAAAGTCCAAAGCATTGACACATCCAAAGTGTGCCACAAGATCTTTTTGATGAAGTGTCTTGCATGCATCAAACCTGGTAGACAGGATACCTTGAGGGTGTAAAATGCCATACAATTGACGGTTCACAAGGAAATTGGGCAGAGAAAAGGCATTTAAATTAGGCTTGTATGAATACTGAGAAGAATTTTCCAGAACCATCATTCAAATTGGAGTACTGTGAGAAATTATTTAATTAAATGATCTGTCCAAAGAAATGGTAAAGATAATTTGCCATAAAAATTAATTTTCTGTAAAAAAATTAAATTATTACCTGCTATCAGTACTATATAGGCTGCATTCAGTGCATTGCACTGATTGCAGCAATGCAGCCTATGCATAGAGGATAATTTTAATAATAATCAAAATGACTAAGGTCATAACTTTAATGGAGTGCTTTCAAATAGCAAACTAAATTAAATTCACATATATAACCTAATACTAACAGTAAAGTTACTTTTAATTGTCATTCTAATACCTATGTAAATTTAGAACATAATTTATATTAAGGAGAGAATTCTTTTTCCCCGGATCCAGCTCTTATGTCTTAATGTCTAATAAAATTCAGGATTGGAATTTTTCTAGGCTAGCCTACTTGTTTCTGAAATCTTGTGGCTCCGCTCCAGCGTAATTAAACTTTAACATACCTAATTGGAATCTCGCAGCCCAAATTGGGCACTTTTGTTAACAATCAAGTAGGAGGTACTGACTAGTATGGACTATGGAATATATCTACTTGGCAAGCCGCGACTGAATTTTTCGAGCCGTGGTTTTATGGACTTCCCAGCCGTGATTCCATTTCTACGAGCCGTGATTCTATTTCACCGAGCCGTGAATTCCATATCTCGGCCATATTTCTGCAAGATATTTTTGGCGGAAACGGTAAAGCAATGCGGATTGCCGAAGTTGAAAATTTTATGAAATGACATGTTTGCGAAGTGCAAACCGCAATTTTTTAATCAAACAAAAATTTATGACATTCGAGCAGCGAGATTTCATACCTACTGAAATTATATGATATTAGAGCCGCGATATTTCAGACAAAAATAGGACTTTTCCAGACTAGGGTACTGAGGTACCTAATTCAACATTTCAACTGACAGAAATTTCGCAGTTCTGGAAAAAAGGCATAAAATGAAGGGAGAATTCTAGTTGCGGCCCTAAAGGTAGATGTTTTCTTTTCCACACTTGATGACGTCTATGAAGCTAGTTAGGCTACAAGATATTGAATAAAATATTAAAATTTATTGAGAAATTATGAGTGAACTGTTTCTGACAAAAATACCTTGTTTGCTTCTCTTCTTCTGCGAGGGCCCACAAATGATGTAGATATTAGCCTATCCTAATTCCTATGTACCTATATAATAAAAATTTTGTCCATAGGCCATAGCTAGCTAACTGCATACAACTATGGTCTGTACTGTCTTTGTCACAGACTCACGTCTCACAGTACTGTGTTTAGTGTGTTATATGTCTTAGGTACTGACGTACTGTCTGAGTCAGTGTGTACTTTGCACAACAAATTTAACATGACAACTCTATTTAATTCCAGCCTTCAGGAAAATGTTCCCACTTTCAGATGTGCATTCCTTCCAATTTGGCCCACACGTGTATCGTTTAATTACTACGTACGGTAGATTGTCCCTTAGACGGTGGACCTGTTAAGGGGACCGGCTACCCTCCGGAAAAACTTCTACAGTTATTATCCGATCATCATGAAACTTCGCTTACATATGCAAAATGTAAATATAAGAACATTTTGCTCGTATGAATTTTTCGAAAAAATATATAGAAAACGTGAAATTCATAGAAAACGGCTAAAAAAGAAACTATATTCAAAGATTTCAGCAGCTAATTACTTTATATCTAATTAGTTAAAGAACTCTGCCACCCGCTTCCCTTTAAAGAGACGTCATGAACGTAAATATTGGCGTACAGCGATGGCAGTGGTACCATTGGAAAGAGCAGAATTTCAGCTTTAAGATGAGCTCAAAAACCGGAAAAGCCAAAATTGAAAATTTTAGGGTAGCCGGTCCCCTTAACAGTAGGCCTAACTGTCTAAGTCTGCGGATTCTGAGGCTGCTGAACTACTGTGATTGGTTGGCCTTTGTTCCAGCTGTTTGTTTTGGGACATCAGCTGTTTCTGCAGCATCCGAAACATTGGAAGTATGCGAAAAGGTACTTCGACAAAAAAATTTGCAATGCAACTAATTATCAAAAATAGTTAAGAAATGTTGGAAAGATACTCAGTCAAAAAATTAGTACGATAATAATCACCAGAAATTTTTAAGCAAATGAATTTATCGTGCATTTTTCTGTGTTTTGTCTAACGCATAATTCACATAGGAGACCCCATGTTAGTCAGTGATGCACATGTAGTCCACTGCACCGAATTAGTTAGGACTGCTGAGAGGGTTATTTTCATTCGCCTAATTCACGAGAAAATTTCCGAAAATATATGAACATCAGGCGGGTTAGCTCGGAAACGTTTTGGAATGTGGATGCGATGACGATCAGTGTGATCACTTGTGAGTCAATATTGTGTGTCAACTGCGACAAAGTTACGTCTCGGAAAAATTTACGACTGGACTTGCGGCCGGTCTCGCGTCTAATATCCAAATTTAGTGAACAAGGAATATCTCCCAAAGTAATGAACGTAGCTCGATGAAACTTGGTACAGGTATCCATTTGGTCCTGACAGCTGACAGTGATGTTTAGCTCGTGAATTTTTTTCTTGCAATTTCACCTTCATTTGTGAGTTATATAGCAATACGTGACGAAATTCACAATGAGCAAGAAAATTATTCTAAACTACTGTACATATTTAAATAAAACATTGAATATTCAAACCTAATCTCCCAACGGTGATGTTTAGCTCGTGACAATTTTTAGAGCATTTTCTCATTTATGGAAAAAATGCACCATTGTGGTCGCCATGTCCGTCTGTCTGTTCGTCCGTCCGTGACCTCAAGTTTTCGTCGACGAGAAAATGCGCTCTCTGTCACTCACTGCTGAGTACTGAGTTATATATATATTTTTTAATTTTGCCTTTGTTTGCGTGTTTTTTCCATATTCGTGATTTAAACAGCAATACGTGCTTAAATTCGTAGTCAACAAGAAATTTCTCCTAAAATACTGAACAGGTTTGAACGAAACGAATGTGAATAGGCTAACTAACCTCCCAACGGTGATGTTTAGCTCGGGTTAGCAATAGTTCGATGAAAGTGTTTCCCGTCAACGGCTGCTGGAGAGGCTCCATTTCACGCTAGTCACGTCTGTCTTTGAAGTTCTTCAGAGAAGTCAGTTGCAGCTTCTTCTAAGGTAAGTTAATGTTATTCTCGCTACGAAAATGACGCTAAAAATTTACTTAAATATATGAAACAAATCGCACAAACGTATTTTGTTGTATTATATATTGTAATTAAAAACGAAGATCATTTAGTCTAGCGGCCGAACGACAATATTACCGTAATGTACGGTTTAGCATGTGTTTCGACGAGAAATCTGAGATGATCACAACTTTTACCACATCAAATTATTTTTACCGAACATACGTGTATAAGCAAAAATGGTTGTAATAATTTCTTTTCCCGCACTGATGCAACGAAGTTTTAAACGGATCTTTTGAGCAATTATAACAGTTCCTCTGCCTAGAAAATATTGTCCACTACCTTGTCTCGTTACTAATTTCATCGAGATACTGATCTGAACCTTAGGATAAATTAAATGTTCAGTAATAACGGAAATTCGTAACGAAAATTTATTCTATCAGTCATTAGAGATCAAATATGGATTAATATATCAAATGATCGATTACGGAAACTATGGGTGGCCACGAGAGACTCTTGATGGCCGGCGTCGTCAAGGTTGTCCGAAGGTCATTATAGGTTTTCAATGCCTTGAGTGTTTTAAGATTAGATTCGCTAGAGTAATTCAAAATCAATTGAAATATAGCGGTTGCTAATACTAGTACTGATACTTTCATATTTTTTGGACATCATGAAGCCCAAAAATGTATATTAAATTCATTGTTGTTAGATGAACATTTGCTCATTGTTTAGCTTAGATTAAATATGTGACGCGTATTGCTTCTTGTTGAATTTATCTACAGTAGTTGGTGTATTGAATATCGCTATTCACCACAAAATCATTTTACTAGCTCACTAACATTAATATGAAAGAGGTATTTTTTAAAATATATTAATGAGGTGAATAAATCATAGTTAACACTTATTCAGGTTACCTAGCAAGCATGTCTCAGAGAAATGAAGGCCACCTCTCGGGCATGCATTCGTTGCACAGAAGCGTGGCGAGTGTGGTGTCTGGAATGTTCCCTACCGCGACGGCGGCCGGTGACCGTCATGACTCTCATCCGATCTACCCTGACGCTGAAATAAAAACTGAGAACTTGGTTGAAATAGAAGATGAAGATTTATTTGCATCGCAAGCCGCTAACGACGAACAACTTAGTTCGCAGCGCGGGATGGATGGTGATGCTTTCGACGTACTGTCGCAGGGCTCGGGGATGCTCTCTTTCTCGCAAGTAGCGAAGTCCTACGACGAGGCAAGTCAATCGTTGCTGGGAGCAGGGAACGACCAAAGCAGTCAAGACTCCAGCGCAGGCTTTACCCAAATATTGGAAGATATCAGCAAAAATTTTGAAACCCAGTACCCGGACAGCTCTCAGAGAAGCAGTTTTGGGAGAGAGCCGCGCTCTCTGTTCTCGTCTGCGTCGGCGCTGACTAAGAATTTTGGACTAGGACGAGATCAAAATCAAAGCTCACCGCAGTCAACTGAACGAAACGTTCCACTCAATAACCCCAGTGGGAAGTTCTCAACCAGCATCTGCAGGCCTCTGCCGCTAGTACCGATTACCCCATTCACCACAAACGGAAATTTAATCAAAAAATCCCAGAGCAGCTTCGCCGTCGCCCCAAAGCAAGCATTTTCTGTAGCCAACGGTGCTAACAGAGCTCCGGGAAACATCACCAACTCATTCAGCACCACCGACAACTTGTGTGAGTCATTTTACAGTAGCCCAGGCACTGTCGACAGTTTCACAGACTCCGGAGGCACAGGAGGCGATCCTCGAGAGTCGCGTGACTGCAGCGTGCCAGCGTACGCCAGAGCCCCGCCCTTCGCGCGCACTCAGACGGCCAGCAACAAGGACACGTCGTCGTTTCAGGCGTCTAAAGGCCGCGAGTTTGCAAACAAACAATCTGGTAATATTTTCCTGTCTGCAGGAAGGGGATT